ACTACACTACAGTAAAATCTGATAAAATAATCTGTAGAACCATCTAGATAAAAATGGTAAATGGGCTGCATTTATATAGCACTTTCACAGACCCAATGGCCACCAAAGCACTTTACATATTGCCTCACGTTCAACCATTCACACATGCAAGGCGCCATCCGCCATCCAGCTCATCGGGAGCAGCTGGGGTTAGGTGTCTTGCTCATGGACACCTCGACACTTGGTCAGGTGGAACCGGGGATTGAACCACCAACCTTCCGGTTTGTAGACAACCTACATCGGGACTTTACCTAGGATTGTCAGAAGGGGAGAACTGGGCCCAAAATCAGCCCGATTAATTTACTAGTTCCAAATATCTGTTTTTTAGAAACATGACATGAAGTATTTGATTCCTAGATGTTGGATGGTTTTATTAATGTAAAGATTAATAGAGTGTCTATACAATATATAATGTACAAAAGAATGACTTTTCCTTAAATGTTTGTGAAGCAAAAAGCAAGCCAGCCTTTCAACATTTTCACAGGGAATGGTTGACAGTTTCCTATGGTTTAGCTTCTGAAAGGCACCTCCTAAGTGCATTTCTTTCAAAGTACTTTGAAAAGGTGTTCATGATGACGGTGATGGGTAAAGAAGTCACAAGTAACCCACAGAGAATGCACAGTGTAGCTACAATTCTCCCAGCCACTGTCTGTGGATATACATCTCCGTATCCTACTGTTGTCATTGACACAATGGCCCACCACCAACAGACAGGAATGGAAGAGAGTTTGGACAAGGCTTCCTCCTTTTCAGTGTAGTAGATAAAAGTTGAGAAGAACGACACTCCAATATTAATGAAAAGAATGAGGAGACCCACCTCACTGTGACAGTTCTTTAGAGTTTCCCCAAACGCTCTCATCCCCTCTGAATGTCTTGCAAGCTTTAGGACCCTGAAGGCCCTCATTAACCGGAGAACCTGAACCATCTTGCCCATGTTGACCAGACTTTGGTTTTCCTCCCCATCATCTTCGTCCAAACTTTCAAAGGCCAGCGTCACATAGAAAGGCAAGATTGAAGCGATGTCGATCATGTTCAGAGGGCTTCCTAAAAAACTCCATGGGCGAGGAGCTGCTACAACCCGCAGGACAAACTCCACTGAGAAGAATAGGATACAGATGACCTCCAGAGAGTCTAGGACAGAATGCTCACGATCAGTCGCGTGCCTGAATTTCGGCATACTGTGGATGCACATGGCCACAATGGAGGTCAAAATGACCAGTACAGAAACCACCGCAACACCTTTGGAACATTTGGAGTGACTGGGATCTTCAAGAGTTTGCCACATGAGCTTACGTGTTTCTGAACACCAGGTGCCTTCAAACCTCCACAGGTCACTGCTCACAACCGAGATATCCTCAGATGAGGCGCCACCTGACCGGCCACAAGCGTTCTGCTTCCGTTCAAGGAACCAATCGAGACAGCAGGCTTCCAGATCCAGCTCACAAATGCCCCAGTATTCGATCTCCTGGCTGAAATAAAACACACACAGTTCCTCAAGAGCATGAAAGTGTCCCGTACGGTAGAAGTTCAGAACACAGAGGAATACTTGAGGGCTCCGGTCGAAATAGTACTCCTGTTCAGCGGGACTGTAGTCGTCACAGAGTTCCAAGATGGCGGCGTCGCTGCAGCACTGGATTAACTGACCCACGCGGGTGTTGGGGAACCGGAGCAGAACGCAGCGCTCCACCTTGTGCTGGATGCCTCCAACGTTGAGGTTAATGAGATCTTCCTCCCTGCCTTGATGGTGGAGAATTTGTCCATACATCATGGTGGTAGTGATTTGTTGAATCTGGAAGTCTTGCCAATGAAATGCTTGCATTATCTAGTAAAAATACAGAAATGTGGATGTTAGCTGCATCAAAAACCCTAAAAACGGTTTAATCAATCAACTAATGAACTCAGTTGATAAATTGGTCAATAACTAAACTCTTTGGGGAAAAAGTTGTTGTGGGTTATATATAGAACCCTAAGGTTGTCTACCCAATTCTGGGTAGACAATTAATTTTTTTTTTCATTCTATTTTTTGCTTCATCGGAATGGTACGAAACTTCGTTTCTGTTTTGGCACTTGCTTAGCCTGGTTAAAACCAGACCATTCTCAGTTGTAACTGAGATATGGTCTGGTAAAGCATCATAGACAAATCATTTCCAGAGGGGCGTCAACAGTGGGCATCGCGTGTAGACCTAAAACCAATCAGGGGTGCGTTTCCCGTACAACGACGTAGTTCGCTGATTCACTACCCTAGTACGATGCATCGTTGGAAAAATCAACTAGCTAGTCACGGCTGTTTCCCGAAACCCACTGTCGCAAAGTATCGTTCAACCACGTTGGTTTCGCACGTGGTGGAGTAATAACTACTTAATGAAACTGTTTGAGATCCAATTAACGCTAGATTTGTTTTATATAAATTACAGACATGTCATCTGAGGACTATTTCTACTTGTTCTCAGTTGTTTTGCTTTATTACCAGAATCAATATTTGGCTCGTTCTTACATAGTAGAGCACGTTCGCACATGCGCACTCTTCAAACACGTTACTTCAAATCTTTTGAAAAACCAAAAGACGTAAATTCCATTTGTATGTTTTCTAAATAAAAGACACCGGTTGTGCTGAATGTCAGCTTGCTTATTTTGCTAAATATAAGGATTTATTACCTCCAAATGTCATGCAATATAGAAACGATGCCTCTAACCACTGGTCGAGAGCTGTTGTTCAAACCACACAACTTCGCGATGCTGTTTACGAATGTTCGTTGGAATGATGGTTTCGGGAAACACCGACTCGTTGAACTATGCTGATAACGACGGAACTTGCGACCATAGTTGGCTAATGATGCTTTCGGGAAACGCACCCCAGAGCGATGAAGGAGATGACGTTTGTAGAGCGGCGGCCGGCGGAGAAACAGAGAAACATCTCCGAGTGTTGTTCTTTGCTCGGTTTTTAACAAAAAGGAAACGTTCAAATCGCTTAAAAACAGACACGATAGCTGATTCGAGCGAGTGATGTTCGACGGCGGTGTCCATCTTTGTAATGTAGTAGACTGCCAAATCTGCTTCAAAATCCCAGCGCAGTCGTCATCATGTAAAGCCCGCCCCAATGTTTCTGATTGGTGCCGCGATTTCTGTGGACTGGAAATGGGCTTGAATGAGCTCTTTGCCAGACTAACTTTCAGAGCAAATCTAAATTTGCCGGAAGTTGTCTGGGTTTTCCCATGCTAGCACTTGCTATGTGAACACAAGAAATCCTGGAAATGATTTGAAAAGGTAAAATATTCAACTTCACGGTTAAAATGTCCACGTTTGAAATTAATGGGAGATGAATTTCATCTAGTGAAATCTTTTGGTATTGCAGCCAAACTAAATCTTACTGAAAGCTATTTTTTTGAGATATCAAGCTTAACACGTTTAAATGTATGACTTTGATTTTCTTGCAGTTTTAGAGCAAAACATGTTTTTTGAAAATATAGATTTCATATAAAAAATTTGAGAAGTAATTTTGTGCATTTTTCATAACAATAAAGTGAAATTCTGTAACTTTTATGAAGTTAACGGTTTTAAACTTTTTTCACTTCAGCAATAATTTGCCACGTGTCTGTGCTTTAAAGCATTCAATATTTACGACAGTAAGTTGGAAATGTAATTTTCAGGTCTATATGCTAGAGTATTGTCTAGGGTCAGGGCTAGAGATCATATTACCCCTGTCTTGGCGTCTTTGTCAGGTAGCGATATTATGCTGGCATATAAGGCTTTGCATATTCCGGCTCCTCAGTATTTGACTGATCTATGCCTTACACACCACGTCCTAATCTGCGTTCCTCTCTTGGTCGTTCACAAGATACGGCTTCGCTCTAGGAGTGATAGAGAATTATCTCCCTATGATCCTAAGCTTTGGAATTCTCACCCGGCTGACATCAGGGAAGCAAATACATAAGTGATTTTTAAAACTCTCAAAATAATTTATTTTAGGATTGCTTTTGCTTGATTGTACATTTAATAAGAATTACATTGATTATAACCCAATATTTAAACTCATGGTTTCCTTAACCTCAACTCACCTGCTGTAAACAGATCCTCTTGTAGTGAACGAATCCATCGCGCCTACAGTATATTTATTCTGTGGGTCAAAATTTAAAGGGTGACATTACTGCAACAGAACACTGCATATAACATAATGATATATGAGCATATACACTGATTATGTTTTAATGTTATACGTTTTTGATATTTTATTGACACTGATTTGAGAATAGTCTAGCTCTTTTTTATATTAAATCTGATCAAAAGTAAACAATAAAGGCAACTTATATTCAATCATCTGTAAATTGCTTTCAGCATCTAACGGCAACTAAAACAATTGATGAAACTGCAATGAGTCAATGACAATATGAACAACACATGTGAAAAAATTTTGAAATGTGAGCATGCTATTTACATAAAAAAGAAAAATACTTTAAATAGAAAACCAGAAAATAACCACATCCTGTGAAAATAATTGCCCAATTATTTGCATACCAACAGCTATAAAAAAAAATTAGATAGGCTACTGGTATTTTGGCTTTCAAGATATTTGAAACATGAAAAAAAAACTGCTAGTCTAGAGAATCCAATTCAAAAGCATTTACTTAGACCTGATAAAACCTTTTGACTCACTGCTCCCTTCATACCTAGAATAAGACATCAAACAAAAGAGACAATGCTTACCGCGAATAATAATTAAAAAAAAAAACAATTTAGGATGATATTCCCACGCGGTTTCAAATCATTACAGCCTTTCCGCACTGACGTCTTAAAAAGCGCAAACCTCAAAAGAAACGTTCATTAAATAATACATGATCACTATGGGTACAAAGAGCCAACAGTTTCTCCATTACCATTCAAATCCAGGTTCACACCTTTGGGCGGAGAGTTCTGTGAGAGGTGTTTGAGTTCCTCACCTGCGCGTAATACTGTGCAATCAGAGGAACGCGCTCGACACACAGTTCTTAATCACCTTCCGGCGAGGTCACTCGTTTGTGTAGAAAACACACTTGATGGTTTGTGAAAAAAAAACATTAACAAAGTTTTCAAAGAATGGGATGCTTTAAAATAGGGTATGTTCTGGCAATGGAAATAAGTGTGTTTGAATTCACCAATAGATGTGCTAATTTATTTATAATGCTTTTAGGGCTTTCTGGCTTATGGTCAACCTAATAAGCATTGATGCAGATACATCTGCAGGTAACCCATGCTAACCATTTAAACTGTGTGTGTGTCAAGTCATGTAATTCATTACTTAATGGACTATTCTTGCAGGTGGAATACAAGCGGAGTGTCTTGGAAATAGGGTGCAGTTTACTGTCCCAAGCTCTCTGAGTAAAGGGAGCCCTTTAGAGGTTTATGCAGTCAGTAAGTTGATTATCCCTTTGTTCGTGTGCCAATGAGTTTAATACCCCCAGGAAACAATTCAGAGCTTCTCTGGGTGTTTCAGATAACGCACAGACCGTCTTTCTCACACCTCACCTGGCGGCTCAGTGTGGCTACACACAGAAACTGGATCCTTGGGGGAATACGATAGTGTCGGCTTCCCTAAAGAGTTGTTTTGCAGAGAAACAGGTATGTGTCTTTTATAAATTAAGCATTCCTTTAACCAGCTGTAGTCCTGGACCTATTGTTTATCACAGAAAATATGGAGAAAGGTGCATTTGAGAGTGGGTGTTTGAAAGGAAAACTATATATACATTTATAGACCCAACCAGGTTTATTTTTTATTTCATTGTTGTAGGGAGACAAGGAATATAAAGTAGCCATACAGGTTAAATTCTATGAATTCCCCATGCTATCTGCGAAAGTCCTTGAAGCGTCCAAGTCCTGCAGTCACACTGTGGTTTCACGTGAGATTATGTGTGAGACAAACTTCATGGAGGCAAGTAACTTCATTTTCTTATATAGCAAATATTTTGTCATTTAGACTAAAATGTGGACATTTTAGACATTGCTTTTTGTCTGTATGTATCAAGTTTGACCAATGGCTGCTGGATAGTTTATGGGATTGATAATTTCTTATGGGGTTTATAGTGTTTTGAGTAAAATATCATGCCAAATACTGAAATAATTTGTTTCAGAAATAGGCTCATTTTACAACTCCACCAGAGTTTTACCGTTTTTGAATCCATTCAGCCGAATCAAGAAACTTTACTGCCTTACCATGAGTGCAGCAAGGCGCAATGACTAAACCAACTTAGTCCCGGCCCCTGTACGCTGGGCACTATTTTCAGGCGCTGCGTCATAACATCGCGCCTGCTGCACTCATGGTACGGCAGTAAAGTTTCTTGATTGTTACACAGGATATAGTTCCTAGCCATATCAGCCTAGAAAATCGCAACTTTACATTTTCCGTTTGTCTTAGTGCACGATGTAACTTTGTTTTTGTTTTTTGAGAATTGCCAATTGTCTTGTGGACTTGAATGGTACCGCCAGTACCGGAAATCGGCTGAATGGATTCAAAAAATGGTAAAACTCAACAGTTTAACTCTGGGGGAGTGGTAAAATGAGCCTATTTCCAAAAAAGTGGAGTATCTCTTTAAAATATAAATTAGTAAGTTTAATATCTCCTTGACTCCAGAGACCTGTTGCATGAAGTCGGTTTGTGTTTCCAGCTAAGTTTGAGATCAGTTTGAACAAACTCTGATGGGGTTGTTTTGGATTCAAGAAGGTGGATTGGTTTTTAGTGATGTTCAGGGCCATGGTCACGTGCTACACGCAAACCAAAACTGGACCAATCAGCTGTGAGCAAAGTGACGCATATCTGATGCAATAAAGCCACTCCCCCTGTATCTCAAATGGCAAATTAAGGGTCCGTTTACATGACACGGTTTTCAACTTTTTATGTGTTTTGGCCTTTCATGATAGAGTATCTTTTGTTGTTTTCACTTCTTTGTGTGAACTGGGATCATTTCGACAATGTCGTCATCTGTCTGCAAAAGAAAAACTTTTTCAGTACTACAGTATGTTGTCACGTAAACGTACCCTAAAAATCTCAGAGACAAATCCCATGTTCTGTCTGATTGGCTATTTGCTGCATGTCACACTTTCAGGTGAACACGGTTCAGAGTTAATCTCCAACTCCGGGTCAAGCACGGAGATGCAATATTCATTACAGTGAGGTGGTCTTTCTGCTTGACCTTAGGCCTGTCGCACCTCCAACGGCGCCTGTGGTGGACTGTGCATGGCAGGGGCGTCCTCTTCCCTGAGCCGGGCCTAGACCTGACTGCATACCGCAAGGTTTTGCTGCAGGGTCTTCAGCTGGGGACCACCGCTCATTGACGTTTCGCCCCTTAGCCCAGAACATCTCCTGGTGGCGGGGCAGTGAACAAGGACGTCTCCCTGTCACCCCCTGCAGCAAAACCTAATTAGATGTTACTCCCCAAGCCTTATCTCGTCGTTTCAGCCAGAGCCAGTGGCTTGCTTTCTCAGCTTCTTCAGAGAGCTCTTTGGTGGATCTACTCAGTGTGGCTCCCCATAGCCCCAGGTCCTTGAGCAGATGTGACGTTGATCTGCCCACAAAGCCTCTGGCTCCCACCTCGACCGGGTACAGCCTCGCACCCCATCCACTTTCTCTGCACTCCGCGACCAGATCTGCGTACTTCGCCTTCTTTCTCTCGTAGGCTGCTTCCAGTCCCTCCTCCCATGGCACTGTCAGCTCGATCAGTATCACAGACTTCACAGCTGCAGCCCACAGCACCACATCTGGTCTTAAGGTGGTGCTGCATATCTCCTGTGGGAACTGGAGCTGCCTTTCCAGGTCTACTTCCATCTTCCACTCTGCCCCTGGTGTTAACAGCCTGGAAGGTGGTCTCTTACTGGTATGCGTTGCGGGTTCCCCCTGCCTGAGGAAGCGGATCCTGCATCGACTCTCTGATGGACTCTTGTTGTTTGCCTCCTGCCGACTTTTCTCCAGCACTTCGGCCAGCTTTCTGAGCACTTGGTCATGCCGCCATCTAAATCGACCCTGTGTCAGTGCTGTTTTGCAGCCTGACAGAACATGCTGGAGTGAGGCATTGATGGTCCTGCAGAGGTCACAAGATTGCTCTATTTCAAGCCATTGGTGGAGGTTTTTAGGGCTTGGGAGTGTGTCGTATGTTGCCCTAATGAGGAAACTGAGCCGAGCCTGTGGCAGTTTCCAGAACTCTGCCCAGCTGATTGCTCGGCTTGCGACACCCTCCCAAGTTGTCCACCGCCCCTGCTGCCCCTGTGCCACAGACCTCACTCTGAGCTCCTCCTGCTCAATTCTAGTGACCTCTGCAACAACAAGCTCCTTCCTCTCCTTCCTGCTTGCCTTGGACCATAGGATAGGTGGCTCGCTCCATCCGAGGCCTGCCCGCCCTGTCTGAACCATGCCCACGACTTCTCGATGTTGCAGTCTTCCCATGACCTTCTGTACCTCCTCCTTAGCCCTCCATTTCCTTCCAGTTTCAACTCTGACATTTGCATCAGCCACTGCCCTGTCGGAGGAGTCCATTAATTCCATCACCAGCCTTGCCTTCTCCTGCCTGTAGCCCAGGGTGATGGCAGAGCATTGTGAGCGTGCTGAACTTGATCTAAACCATGTTGAATTTGTCAACTCAAAACCTACCCTAAAACCCAGAGTTTTTTCAACTAGCTTCATGCAACAGGCCTCAAGTAGGCCAAGATTGCCACTGCTGCAACTCAATTCATTGAAAGGGTTTGTGTTACTTTCTATGGCTAGATCTCCCCACAGTAATCTTTGAATGCTCTTTATTTTTAAGTCAATTTGATTGGATTGGATTGGATTAGCCTTTATTGTCTCCTAATGGAGAAATTCATCTTTGGCCTTCAGGAAACAGATGCAACACAGTATACATTATACATAACACATAACACACAAACAATTCGAGAATCTTGAACAATGAATGTTCTAATATGCCAATGGAAATTCAGTGTTATTGCTACCACAGCCTGTGCATGTCTGTTTGTGTTCTGTCAGGTGTCTGTAAGGATTGCTATACCAGAATTCAAGGAAGCACCAGCGAAAGGAGCGGTATGTAACCTGTTTCAGTAAGCAACACTAACAATTGTTCATAATTTGGGTACAAATGGTGTGAACTGACACCACTTACACCACATGATGTCTGCAATTTCATGTTTTAAGGACTTTGTAGACCAACCATTGATATCTAGATAGCATTCATACTAATATGCCTATGAATATACTTTTTTATAGTGAAGTTCATCAAATTTGGCACAAACTCTGTGTGGTGTAATGGACACCGCTATAGACTAGCACTGAAAGAGTCCTCATAGGTAATAAAATAGCATGGAGACTTAGGGGTGGGGTATTAATTTGATATACCAACAACTAAAAACTTCCTAGCAATTGCATAACGATGCACTAAAAATACTATGGTAACCGCATAGCAACGTCCTGGCAATAGCCTTTTGGTTGCGAGTTTTGTGTGTTCAATTACCACTCGCACTGTTTATTTTTTCATCAAAATGGTGAGTGGTTCTAAACTTCACATTTTCTTCTTAATTGTCTTTGATTTAGATTCTTACATTTGTCCCATTGTAACAGCCCACAGTTCTACCTAACTTGCAACTCTGGAAAATCTTACTCTACACCCCTGGAGAGAAGGCTTTTGATCGAGAGACCCTCCAAGGGATGGGCTACAACGTTTACATTTCTCCAACACGGCTGGTCATGCGAAGCCCATACAACATGGCCGAAAACTTTTTCCTAAACGTATGACGTGTCCCATGTGCCAGTGGATCTAACACATTCATTTCCCTACAGTTACTGAAGTGTTTTTCCTTGTCAGGTTGACGATGTTGATATGATTGTGTTCAAATCAGTGGTTCTGTTCAGAGATCGCTGGATGATGGCTATAGTGGAGTCGACAGCTGCCTGTCCAACTAGTGAGACTTCATTCTTGCACACTTATTTTGCCACTTTGGTGTCCCATGACTGTGTAGTCCTGATGTCCTGTACTCTGATTTAACTTCAGATGGAGCTTCTGTTGTGGGTCAGATGATTTCTTGGCGGTTTCCTCTGCACTTAACTCCTCTAATGTCCTCAGAAGTTGAAATCCTGGAGGTGCACATGGGCATTGATGGTAGAAGGCTCACATCTGAAGAGATGAGTACCCGTAACTACAGCATGGCCTTCACAGAGTCCCATATAGTTGTTGAGATTCCTATTGGGGCTCCTGGTGGATACTACAAGGTTAGGGTTTCTACTAACTTAAGTTTTCCTTAATGTTTCTAACTTGATTGACTCATTTGATTTTTATTTATTTTATAGAGCCATGCTGTTGAGAACCAGTACCATATAAGTTACACCATTGAACCCATGGTTGAGCTTATGTGGATGGAGGGTCAGGATAAGACCACGTATAAGGTCTTATTCCCCATCACCACCCCTTTGACACCATGGCCCCCCCAAATCACAGACAGTGAGTGTTGAATTTGGGGCAGAACAGCTAATTGTACTGTACGTCCTCTGTTTTCTTAATTGTTTTTATGTGATCAGACACTAAACCCAAGCAGAAGGTGTTTGAAGCATTGCTGGGTTACTTTCTACCTGATGTGGTGCTGCTGAATATCACCTTTGGCTCGGAATTGCTCGCTGTCTCTGAGGCCATTGCTAAAGGCATCGGCCTGGAAGAGAAAATCTTCCCCAATGGCTCCAAAGCCATTGCTCTCCAGGTTCCCTTCTCTCCACCTTATGTTGAAGAAAAGGTGTGCATTTTCCTTCTCGTTTATGAAGCTGTTGTATTATTTACCCTGTCTTAACATGGCTTCTTCTGTAATGCAGATTCTTCGCGCTGATAGAAGAACCTACTTTCTTTCTCTTGTCTTTGGTTTCATCATCTTACCTGAACGGGCATCATTTTCATACTCAACAGTACTAGAAGCTTCTTTAAGTGACATTGGTAAGACCTTTGTTAACAACTTGTATGCAAGAACTTTATAGAAAAGTTCTATCCACATGGCATTTATGGCTCAGGTGAGTAGGCTCAAAGTCAATTGTCACGAACTGGGTAATCACAAGCAAAACGGCTGTAAGGTCATGTTCTTGGATAACACAGTCTCATCCCAAATCGTCATATAACTGACGTTTTGGGACGTATTTTGACCATACGTCAATATCCGCCTTTTTAGGGCCCCCTTAAACGTCGGTAGATGGCGATCCCGGGCCGTCATACAACTGACGCTTTACCTTTAACGTCAGTTAGGTGACGGGTTAGGTTTAGGGTTAAGTTTAGGTATGGGGTAGAGTTAGGATCCCATAACCTCATCTACCGACGTTTAAGGGGGCCCTAAAAAGGCGAATATTGACGTATGGTCAAAAGACGTCCCAAAACGTCAGTTATATGACGATTTGGGATGAGACCGGGTTGTCTTGGATGCCACTGAGAATGATAATGGATACTTTTTATTTGAACTGCAGTTTACTAAGAGCAAAATTGTGCATTTGTGCTGATGTATAACTTGGTGTCCTTTTTCTTCTGCAGTCAGTCCAAAGGCAGGGGGAGGATGCGTTGAGGATATCTTCAACATTCATGTCAAATATGGAAGCACCCCAAGATCCCAATTACAGATCAAACTGGGACAGGTGGAGCTGAGTGATGAAGTATTACAGGAGTATGAGCACAATTCAAATGAAACCCATTTCACCATTGTTGTGCCATTCCTAGCCCCACTCGTGGCTTTAGAGGTATTCTTCAGATTTTCTGCGTTGCACTGGTGATTAGTGTTTTCCATAGTGCATTTTACTTGTCATGAGTGGTAAACCTGCATTTCAACTGATTCATCCAAATATTGACAACTCAATCTATTTGATTTAAGCCTTATGTAGCGTTTAACCCTTTGCTGGCTGATTTTATACCTTTTATTTTTCAAGTCTGTTCAGGTGACCGGAGTCCTGGGAAGAATTGATGTGGAACTTTACGATACCTTGAATAACCTGCATGTCAACGATTTCTCCCTTGTCTGCCCCTTTTTTGTAAAAATGGCAGGTTGGTTCATATTTGACATTACTTCTCTTAATGATGTCTTGTTGCTATTTTACTATTTAGTTCCTTTGTTGTGCCAGAGTGTTTTTCTAATGGAACGATTAGTGTGGTGATTCCCAAATTGGAATCTGTACCACATCTGCTTCCTGGTGAACTCTCTCTAAGAGACCCGGCCTGCAAACCCTACTACAATGAAGACCACTTTGCTTTTTTCCGCTTTGATGTCACCACTTGTGGAACCACGCGAACGGTATGAGGGTACTCGTGTCAAGCATTCACACTACTGCTGTTATGCAGTCAATTGATGTATTAACTCTTTTACTTGTTAGTTTGACGAGGACACCATGAAATATGAGAATGAAGTCACTTGGAAGACAGATGAACCTTTGCCTCAGACCTCTGCATTCCAACCTGAGCCAGAATACAGGTTCTGAGCTTTAGTCATCTTTTTTAATATAAATATTTTTTTTTAAAAGTCAGTTAATTTGATTAATTTATGTAGGGCCTTTAAAAATAGAGTAACTACTTTTTTTTTTCAGTGAAAGTTTGTGTATGCCTCAGTAAGCTTTGAACATTGAAACAAGCAAGGTTGTGTTTAAACAGAATAAATAAACTATTTTGCCCCCCCCAAAAAAATCCTCAAACTGGTTGGTGTCCACTAAAATAAAAATGTGCTTTCAATGCTGCATTATCAGCGACTGGCACTTTTAGATTCAATACTAAGTCACAATTTATCAATGCAGAATTAGGAAATTCACTCAACATTTGGTGGGCATATCAAGCATTTGGTCTGTTTATTATGAACATTTGTAACCTTAAGCTGTAAGGTTTTTCTGTGTCCATTTAAATCAATAACCAATAATTTTCTCAATGTCAAAGTATAGCCATGCGTTTAGACTTCTCAGCTACACACTGAGCACTGATATGAAGTACAATAATCACTGAAATTTTTAAGAGTTACTTTTTTTTTTTTTTTCTCAATAAGGATCTTCGTGTCCTGCGTTTATAGCGCAAACTCCACCCAAAGCATGATGTTCCATGTGGTTCCACAAATTAAAGAGCCGGAGGCTGATGTTGGGAAGGGTGAACTCACTGTTAGCTTGAGGCTTTCTCATGGTACGTAAACTACTCCATTAGTTTTGCTAGTGGTTCCAGTTAAAGTTAAATCCATTATATTTTGGCATTCCTTTTAACACATTTTCAAGTGAAATTGTAGTAATTGAGATTTAAGAATGGGACTTCAATGCAACCATTGGAATTTATTGGATCATAAGTGTTACGGAACCACACAACATGTAGCCTAATTTCCTAAATGGCAAGTTATTACATTTGATTAATGATCACAAGTTGTTGTTTGTTGTTTTGTTTTGTTTTTTCCTTTGGAAATTACACATGCAGTTGAGTCATTCACAATAAGACCAGAAATGCATTTAAAGTAAATGGGATCCAATATGATTTCATGTAGATTAAAATTATATTGACAAGTCTAGGTCCTGCAATTTTCTTATATTTTTAATAAGAAGAAAGCCTGTCAGTCTGTGCAATATATGGAACTTTTTTTTTTTCTCTTCAAGATATGGTCTACAGACTCTTCTATCACGATGGCGACTACCCTGTTTTAAAGTTTCTGAAACAGCCTTTGTATTTTGAGGTGGGTATGAATCACTCCAAGGACTCAAGGGTAGCAGTGGGCCTGGAAAACTGTTGGGCAACGCTCACCAAGGACAGAGAATCCCAACCTAAATGGGATTTAATTGTTGATGGGTATGTTTGGAGCAGTGTATGTGTTTGTTGAACATTTCTTCAAGATGAGGGCTCTAATTCTTCATCTCTAATCAGATGTCCGAATCCTAAAGACCCTGAACAGACAATCATCCATCCTGTAAGTGAAGATAACAGAGTGGACATCCCAGATCACTTCAAGAGATTTGAGGTTAAAGCACTTACTTTGAGAGAGGATAATGGGATTATTGAAAGTGAGGATGCCAACATGGCCAGACGGGTAAGCTGAAAAGTATTTCAGAATTTGCTTTTAAGATACAAATGGTTTAAGTCTATTTTATGCGTTGTTGATTTATGTCTAGTAAATGTGGATTAAAGTGGTAACCCTGTAATGGTTAATTTACGTTCAAAATAGGTATTTGTCCACTGTGACGTTGTCATATGTCATGCTAAAAACACTGCTGATGGACGGTGTTACAAACAGTGTGGGACGAATCGGCATCAGATCGAGAGCAGCTCAAAACGGGGTAATGGTCTTAATTCAATCAAGTGAAAGTACAGGTTCTCAACTCTGACATTTCACACTCTTCCACAGTTCGTAGAAGATCAAGCTTTTCAGAGGAAGACGTGCAGCATGTGTCTGCTGGCCCTATTCTGTTGATATGAACATGTAAGTGCATTTTAGTTTTCCAGTTTATCTCTGGAAATGCACTTTAATACTTCTGAAGGCATCAGCACAAGGAGACTTGTTTTTTTTTTTGTTTGTTTGTTTTTACACCGCTTGGTGCAACATTGAACTCAAACTTGTTATGTAGCTGATGCAGATGATGCTGTGGACATGTTCTGTGACGAATCGCATATCTGCCGTGTGAGACTTCAAAAGTAATTTCTCACAAATAAAATATCTGGCATTTTTGCAAGGACAAATTACTGGCACTCACATTGCAGTTACGTTGAATAAACCATTTTTACCCAATCAAGTGTTATTTTATTTATTTATTTGATTGAGACTTTTTTTAAGAAAAAAAAAAAACAGGCACTCTAGACTAAAAGTTCAAAAGCACTGTAATTGGGGAAATATTAACCAAACCAAAATAATTCAAAGGTGACCCCAAGGGTTGCTCCATAAAACAAGATTAGAATACAAGACAGGCTTATTTTGGTTAGTCAGATTTATTGTTGGTGGGTTCTGTTTCATAAAGCAAATTTAAAATGGTTACTCTGTTACAAACTCAGTTAGGCTGGGAAATTAACCTGGTCCAGGGTTCTAAGCATGCGTCAAAACCGCCGCCATGTTGTAACAGGGGTGTTGTCATAGGAAGTAGCTAGGTAACGCTGCTATCTCTGCCTTTAATTCGAATGAATGGATGGTGGTGGACTTTTGTGCTGCGTATGATATTAACGAATGAAATCTGAACTAGGAAGAATGTTGTTGTTGTTTTTTTTCCTGGAATCAGTGATAAAAACATGTCTGACCGTTGGAACGAACCAAAAAAAAAAGAGAAAATCGCATTCTTGATTTCCGTTAGACCTTTGTCTACATTGACGCTGATGCATTAAAGTCGAGGGGCTCCCCGTTTCAAGATGGCAGCTCTATTGACGCATATGTTCTAATGAACTGCCGTAGCCAAGGCAACATCTAGAGTATATATCTATGGTCCAGGGCAGGATAACTGTCAGGCTAAGCCTGAGTTGAAGATTAAAGGTATAGCAGAGGATCTTTCCGAATTTTAGAGAAGACCCGCCCTCTCCAATTTTTTTTAAAAAATGCACAAACACAACACTCTTGCTCCCGAGAGGGAACGCCTATTACGCCTTGCACAATTATGTTGCAAATGCTAAACTAACTCGAAAATATTCATAAAAAAAGACATGTCAATGCCCTTCCGTGTTTTATTTACTTACTATAACGATCAATTAAGTGACCGAGGACTCAAGACATGTTATGTACAACCCTGTATCACACGAAATACGTTTTGAGGAAACTATTTTGCAAATCGTAATTACGTTACATAGCAACATATAAGCAGTGCTATTACGTTGGTCCTTAACCTAATATGTCTCATTGTTAATACGTAGGTATTAATACGTTATTTTTATACATAGTTGCGTATGGAGAAGTAGCTTGTTGCATTTGTGTAATAATAAAAACACAAGGTTTTAGAATATGAACACACAAGGTTTTAGAATATCTAGCGTGATACCATTTTGGTCAAAAGGCTACTTTAGACAAATTGAGATATTTACCCTGTCTATGCGGTGCATGACTCGTGCCAGGGCTAGCATTGATTGCATTAACTTTTACTAGTGATTTTAAATGGATTTCTCCAAATAGCATGACAAACTTTACCTGTCTAGTAGAATCTTCGCGACTGCGGCATCAGTGAGAAGTCCAACCTGTGCTTTTAGCGCACGCCAGCGTGTGATATTCACCCAAAATCACTCTGGTCTTGTTTCTATATTCTACATTGAAATTGGTGAAGGTTTTTTAAAGTGGCAAAGTTTTTAGCATATGTTAAGTGACTAACATACCTTGTGCCAGTTGGTGGGAAAGAGAACAGGCCTGACAGATTCTGGAATCATGCGCTGAGCCAGGCCATTTTGGCTCTACATTTGTGATGAGGCAATCTGCATCACATATCATCTAAATAATTAAAAATGTCTCTTGAGTCTATTGAATTACATAGATATAAAATGAGGATTGTTACTGTATTTGTAATGAACAGAACAATCTGTTCTACAGTTGTAGCCGATGTAATTTCATTGGGAAAGTACCTGTACATTGATCAGGTGTAATGATTTCCCATTAATGAAGTCTGCTTCATGTGGACCAGACAGACGCTTTACGCGGAAGTGGGTGCAGTCCAGAGCAACAATTGGGAAAGCTACAAAATCCATTCTAAAATTTGTCTTTCAATTGCCATGTCTAACATTAACAGCAATACATTTTGTATATAGTTTTTGAACCTTACCAGCAATTCCATAAAAGGCCTGTTTAATGGTACAAATCACTTTGTGGCCAGGGAAGGTGATAAATATTTTATTTTATTTTTTTAAGACAAGTACAGAATTCGTACAGAGCAGCAAACTGTTGGTTTGCTGATATTTTAAAAATCTGTATTGATAATATGATTAGTTTAGAAAAGTATCAGAAAACACAGCAGCTAAATGACCATTGATGAAAGTCAAGAGCAGTAATACTGCAGACGTGTAACATTACTTCAAAACAAAGACAAAGAAAGACAAAGGTACTGCTAAACATGACCATGTATTTTAAGAAAGTAAATGACTATTTTTATTAACAATATTTACAGCTTATCGAAATGCTCTGTTCGTCGTCTCCAAAGATAGAAAGAATTGACCCATCATTCAGACGAAGTCGATCGGCAAACCCTTCTTTATACTAGTGGAGTTTGTTGAAGTAGGAATTCTTGAAGTGCTTGGCGCACACATTTAAAAAAAAAAAAAAAAAAAAGTTGGAATCCTTGAAGTGAAATCTGAACAGGTTGAAAAATATGACAAAAACAGAATATAAACATATAAACGAAGCACCTGAATAGAATAATTTCAACTTTTCTGTACTTGGGTGATTCTTCAGCTACTCTTTGAGCTAGACAGAAAATTTTTAAAAATCAGAATATTTTTGAGCTGTTTCAGAAAATAAAAACATTTCTACAAACAGTTTTTAGTATCAGTTGGTTTCTCAATCTGTCTATAGAAACCTTCCCTTAAGTTGGCTGCGATGATTTGTATTGAATAATATATATATTTTGGCATTTTTATCTGACAGCCCAAGAAAACGGTCATTTGCATCACATAGCAAAAACGTGTTTTGAATTAAAAACTCTTTTTCCACTGCCCTGTGTTGAACCAAAGAAAATCAATAAGCAACAGTATTAGTGAACAAATATTTTTAAATGAAAAACAATCCAAAAAATAAAAAATAAAAAAAACCAGAACAATGTCATTTCCACCACAACCTGTCTTTACCACCACAATGAACATGGTGGTGGAAATGACTGTGGTGGAAATGACATTTCCCCCATTTTCCTTCTAAAATATCAAGCTACGTTAGCCTGTTAATATTAGTTTTACAGTTAGCATTAAATATACATAAATTACACATTATTAAATTAATTATATCCAGTTATTTTTGACGGCCAATAAACATATTCTCAGTTTTATTCATATTTACCTTGATTTTTCTTCTTTTCGTTACCCCCTAAAGAGGTCACCCTTTCACCCAGCCATGTGTTCACTGTGGAGTTTCTATTGCTATGGTTACTAAGTATTTGAACCTAAAACAATGATCCAGGATTCTATTTTGTACAGTGTGGTGGAAATGACAGTGAACCCAAGGGATAATGGTTCTACTTATGAAAAATATAAGAAAATGTGAATAAATATTGCAATATATACTATGTATAATTGAAATAGACATTATTTATAATTTGTACTTAAAATCTACATTATTTAAATATTTAATTTAGAATTAAGCAAGGTTGAAGGTACAAAGTCTGGCTTAGGGACAGGGGGAAAACAGTAAAAGGCCTCATATAATATTATATAAGTTCCCCTTAGGGTGAAGTAAGTCTGACAAAAACAAAAAAGAAGAAATGTTTTTTAAATTTTATTATTTCATCCAGGGACAAGAAAAGTACCATAGTTAAATAATCACCCACTTATAAAAAACACTTCAAATATACAACAAAATGCATTTAAGGGCCAAGAAAGTGGATTGAGCATATGTCCCCTATAATTATATTAACTGATCCAAATTTTCATAATCAATTATAACCAGTTATTATCGATTATCAATATTTCATAGAGCTAATTACAAGACTGAACCCAATTCAAAGCTTTCCCTGAACAGAGGCATGTGCAGTTCCTGATTCAATGCATACCTGATTAAACCATAGGCTACTTAACAATCTGGGGTGCATTTTACAGAGCCCGCGGGTTTCAGTTTATATAGGCTAATATTTCCTGCAGAGATGAGAGAAATTGCTGTAAATTGATTAAAAACAATGTGACATTGGATAGCACTGGTTAACTTTACATTAGTTTCTCCTGCATCACTACTCACACATCAGATGTGTTTATTGTGGACATAAACACTGGCCTCGTGTATAATAACTCACTGAGCGATTGTACTGTCTCCACTAGATGGCATTAATAATGTGCGCACTGAACAGCTCTGTGTCCAAGTTTGGAAGAGGAGAATGAACTGTGCGTGAGAGCTATCTTTCCAAGAAAAGCATAACACACTGCTGCCAGGAAACAGATAGCTCAACATACATAGCGTAAAACCAACCCGGTCTCATCCCAAATCGTCATATAACTGACGTTTTGGGACGTCTTTTGACCATACGTCAATATTCGCCTTTTTAGGGCCCCCTTAAACGTCGGTAGATGAGGTTATGGGATCCTAACTCTACCCCATACCTAAACTTAACCCTAAACCTAACCCGTCACCTAACTGACGTTAAAGGTAAAGCGTCACTTGTATGACGGCCCGGGATCGCCATCTACCGACGTTTAAGGGGGCCCTAAAAAGGCGGATATTGACGTATGGTCAAAATACGTCCCAAAACGTCAGTTATATGACGATTTGGGATGAGACTGTGTTAGTAAAACATACAGTAGCCAGTAACGAAAAGCATATATATTTACAGTAGGCTTATGTAAGTTTCTCCCCACTTGCACAACCATTCAGTCGGTCTCACGCTATAAGAGATTATGCTTTTAGTTTTTATTTGTGTTCTGTTCTCACGAGTTATGTGTTTCATAGACTTGTGTTATGCTATATGATTTTTTTTTAACTGCATGATAGCCTACAACTCTCTTTTTTTGGTATAAGAAAAATGGTTTCAAACACTTAAAACAGTTCTTCTGATATTGCCTTGTTACAATATCAGAACCCTTTTTGGTGTTAAATGGAACCCTTTTAAAATAAGGTTTC